TAAAATGAAGGCCTTGCTGGTCCAAATGCGAGTAGCCATCAGCAAGTACAGATGAACTGACCAGACAGAGCTTGATGGGTGGTCAGATATGAGTAATAGACATTTCAATCAGTTCAAATTTGTGGAGTATGAGAAGTGGGAACATTGAAATAAAGACCAAGGTGCTGGAGAAACTCAGCAGGTTTGGTAGCGTCTGTGAAGAGAGAAACAAAATTAAGGTTTCAAGTCCAACATTACTCTTTTTTGGAAGTGAGGGGTCTAGAAAAATGGTGGATTTTATGTTGTAAAAAAATACAGGAAGAGAAGCAAGCGGAACAGATGAGATCAGTGCCCAAAAGCAAAATGCAAAGGATGGTAATAGTGAAAGAATAAAGAGAAATAGTAGGTGTTAATGGTGGGTGATCATAGCAGACAGATATTCTACAAAGAGCAAACCATGTAAACTGAAGACACAATCAGGACAGGGGGCCATTGGGAGAGGAATGGGCAATCAATGTGGAATACAGAGTTTGTGGATTAAGGTTTTGTAACTCAACGTTGAGTCTGAACGTTGTAGCGGAATAGGAGGTGCTGTCCCTCTAGCTTACATTAAACTTCGCTGGAACACTGTAGCAAGTCTGAGACAGAGATATTAGCAAGAATATTATTGCATTACTAGAAACAGGAGCAAAGTCTAGAACCACAGTGAGCTCTGAAAGCATCAGTGAGGCAAGAGGTCAGCAGTTACTGCCTGAGAATGAGAATTATGCCAATGATATCAATCTGAGTAGTATTCACAGTGGGCTTTTGATCCCATTCTAAGTGAAGTGTTGTGAATTCACTCCAATATTCACCAGTTATTGTAACATATATAATCAGAGTATCCACATGAAGTCTGAATAATGCGGGCAAAATTTATTGTTTTTTTTAAAATATATATTTCTGCAGTGACTTTTAAACTGTCCCAATATACCTCACAGCCAATGAAGCACCTCTTAAATCATTGTCAGTATTTGTAATGTGGCAGCTAATTTGCACACAGCAAGATACCACAAACAGCGATGTGAAAGTGACAAAATGATCTCTTTTAGTGATGTTGGTCAAGGAGTCAATCTTCATTGGCAAATGAGGAAGTATGCCTTCATTACTCAATCAGTGTCTGTGACCTAAGAGGGCAAAGAAAGCTTTGACTATTATTTAGTGAAAAGATTGCTCCTCTTTACTGGACCAGAAAATGGCTGCCTGCATTATTACCCCATTGCTAAACTTGTCTCAAAAGTTAACACAATTTGCCTATCCCTCACCCAGAGACGTTCCAACCTTTAATCTGTTGGATGAGTAGAAATTAATCAGAATAGACAGGAATATTGTGAAAAACAATTTGAGTACCTTTCCTCTTTTGTGAATCCTACTGCCTTCTTACACTGTATTGTTTAGCTAGAATGAAACATCTATAATTCAGACATTGGATGTGGGTATCAATGCCTGGTCCAGTATTTATTGCCCGTCCCTAGTTGTCCTTGAGGAGGCAGTGTTGACCTACTTTCTAGAGCTGCTACAGTCCATGTGCTGTAGATAGATCCACAATGCCATTAGGGAAGGAATTCAAGGATTTTGACCAAACTACACCAAAAGAATGGCAATATATTTCCAAGTTAGGATGATGAATGGCTTGGAGGGGAATTTGTAAGTGGTGATATTCCTACGTGTCTGCTTCCCTTGTCCATCAAGGTGAAAGTGGCCATGGATTTGGAAGTAACCGTCTAAGGAGCGTTGGTGAATTTCTGCAGTGCATCTTGTACATGGTACACACTGCTGCTACTCGATGTCAGTAGTGAAGGGAGTGGATATGGTGCTAATCAAGCAGATTGCTTTGTCCTGGATGGTGTCAAGTTTCTTGAGTGTTGTTGGAGCTGCACTGATACAGGAAAGTGAGGAATATTCTATCACAATCCTGACTTGTGCCTTGTAGATGGTGGACAGGTTTCGTAGGGCCAGGAGGTGAGTTGCTTGATGCACATTTCTTAGCCTCCATCTTAGCTTTGAAGTTACTTAATGACCCAGCCTCTATAACACACAGCAGCAAAAAATTCCAGTGATACACTACCCTCTAGGAGAAATTCCTCCTCATCTCTGTTTTAAATGGACCTTACTCTTACACATTACTCCAAGATTGTGCCTTCTGGCCCTAGACACTTCCACAAAGGGAAACAGCCTTTCTGCATCTACCCTGTCAATCCCCCTAAGAATTTTGGATGTTTTAGTAAGGTCACCTTGTTCTAAATTCCAGTGAGCACAAGCCCAATCTACTCAACCTTTCCTCACAAGACAATCCCTCCATATCTGGGATCAGCTTAGTGAATCTTTTCTGAACTGCACCAATGCCATTGTATCTGTATTTAGATATGGGAACCAAAAATGTTCGTGGTATTCCAGGTGTTGTCTAACTAGTGTCTTGTTTAGTTTTAGCAAGACCTCTCTATTTTTGTACTCCATTCTGTTTGAAATAAAGGCCAACTCTCCATTTAACTTCGCTGTTGTCTTGAAGAATTATACTAGCTTTTTGTGATGCATAGACAAGGACTCCCAAATCACACTGTACTGCAGCTTTCTGCGGTCTTTCTCCACTTACGTAATATTTAGCTCCTCTATTCTTCCTTCCATACCGCATAATCTCAAATTTTCTCACATTATATTCTGTCTGCCAAGTTATTTTGACCACTGGTTTGACCTATCTGTATACTTAAGCAGACTCTTTCTATTATTCTCAGCAATTACCTTCCTGTTTATCTTTGTGTTATCTGTAAACTTTCCTACAATACACTCACTTTCCTAATCCAAGTTATTGACATTATTGTAAATAATTATCATCACAACATTGATCCCTGAGCCAGTCCATTAGTTATAGATCGCTGTCCTGAAAATGCCCCTAACTCTCTGTCTTCTGTTAGTTAGCCAATCCATTCATGCTGATATTTTACCTCCATGAGCTCTTATCTTATCATATAGCCTAATGCGTGTTAACTTATCAAATGTCTTCTGAAAATCCAAAATGTAATATACCTGCTGGTTCCCCTTTATCTATCTCGCTTGTTATCTCCTCAAAGAATTCAAGTAAATTTGTCAGGCAATGATTTCCCCTTTGTGAAGTAATGCTTATTCTACTTGACCCGATTATTTACTTCTAAACGCTCTACTGTTATATTCTTTATGATAGATTCTAACATTTTCCCAATTACAGATGTTAAGCAAAGAGGCCTACAGTTACATGCATTTTTTTTTATATATCCTTCCCTTCGCAATGACTTAGCCTCTACAACCTTCTGTGGCAATGAGTTCCACAGATTAACCACCCTTTGGCTGAAGAAATTTTTCCTCATTTCAGTTCTAAAGGGTCGTTCCCTTCACTCTGAGGTTGTGCCCTTGGATCCTGGTCTCTCCTACTGGTGAAAACATCTTCTCCACTTTCATTGTATCCAGGCTTTCAGTATTTCCTTTCCTTCATGCCTGTCTTTTCAAAAATTCACATAGCCCTGAATATTTAGTTCCTGGCTTTGATCTTTTTGTAACCATGTCTACATAATGGTTGTAAGATCACATCCATTAACTTGTAATTCTGCCACTAATTTATTAATTTTGTTTTAAATACTACATGCATTTAAGTGAAGAGCGATTAGCTTTGCCTTTTTACTATGTTTTCCCCCATTTAATGCTGTTTTTCTATGTTTGGACACTGTGCCACTGAGTATAGTTATCCAAATAGCTGCCCTGTAATGCGGCCCTATTCTCTTGCTTTGTAAGCCTGTTGGTCCCCTCCCCAAAGGTGCAGATATTGCTGGGTGTAGGATGCCCTATGTAGTTAAATAGCTTGCTGATGCTCATTGTTTTGGTCCTCACACATGTTCTTATTGACTCCTTGGATAAGACAGTGGATGTCAGCCCCTGAGGAACCACATCTTGCTGGTGGTCAATAATTTTGTAGAATCTCCTTAATATCCCATGGAGTTAACCTTAGAGAAGGACAGGAGGAGATGTTTGCTGGGTGTTAGATGCAGAGGTTTGGGCCATGTTGATTCTTGGTGCATCTTCTACTTTATATCAAAAGGTTGCAGCTCTGAATCTAATGTAGATGTTTACACTGGTGGCAGCTTGGTTTCCTGGGATTCTTGGGAAATAGAGCAAACAAATACCATAGTCATAATATCTTTCAAGCCATTCAGAAGCAATTTGCCTATTTTTGGTTGTGATTGCTGTCTCTGGTGTGGACTTCCTTGAATTGAGAGAGTACTGAATTCCATCAGTACCAAAGCTGTCATGGAAAGGAAAGGAAAATATATCTTATGAGTATCTGGTTAACTAAAAGAGGTTGTTTGCGAGGGGCCGTCCGCTTATTAAGTTTTGACCCCACTGAAGTTGCAAGACCTGGAATTTTATATAGATTTCAAATACAAAGCCTGCTCTGTGTTGCCCTCATGTCCTCCGTCTCTTCTGTCATGTCCCTTCCAACCCTCACGTGGGTAATTGGCTGGCCCAAATAACCATCATGATCATTAACATTCCTTTTATTCCCTAAGATAATGCTGACTGACTTCCTTCATCGTTCGTAACCCCATGTTATTGTACCTTCCCATACACATGCTGTTCAAGATTGAAATAACAGGACACCATTGACAGACTATAATGCACCCGTGGAAATATTACCAAAACAAAACTAACTAAAATATTAGTTAGTCTTGGAAATTGGACAAACTATTGAGAAAATCTTGATGGAAACTCACTGCTTTCTAACAACTTTGACACAGAACATTTCCTTAGTCCTAATGACCAATTCAAGCTCACTCCCTGATGTCTTGTTTTGAGCCTTTTCTGAAGAAAAGCCTTTGATTGGCAAAACCTCTCTATTTTTGAATGCCAAAGCTTTGCTTTGTTGCATTTTGTTTCTTGTGAATACTGATTGCATCTTTATTTCCCAGCTTTTGGCGAGTTTATTTAGACTATATTTTTGTTACTTATTTTCTTAGGACTTGACAGCTTTGGCCAAAGAACTGCGGGAGCTTCGCAATGAAGAGTCATCGCGACCTCCAATCAAAGTCACCGACTACTCGTCGTCCAGTGAAGAATCGGAAAGCAGTGAGGAAGAGGAAGAGGAGGAGGAGGAGGAAGATGCAGAAAATGAGGCACAGGATGGGACAGTACCAGTCAGTGATATTCCAAGGATAATGTAAGGAAAGTCTTAAATACCAGTTACTCCACACAGAACGTACAGCCATTCATTTAAGTAAATAAGCATGGAATGAGAAACTAATCTCAGCAATGGTAACGATGAAATTATGTTTTGTCCTTAAAATAAAATCTAGTTCAATAATGTCCCTCAGGAAAAGGAATTTGTGATCCTTACCCAGTCTGGGCCTATATGTGAGTGTAAGCTGTTAGCAATGTGATTGACTCTTCACTGAAATGGCCTTCCAAGTCACTCACTTGTCATGAAGGCAACTCAACACCATTTCCTCAAGAGCAATTAGGGATGTGAACTTGACCAGATAATGAAGGATCTTTTTAAAAGTTGTTGGGAAGTGCAGCACAATTAATTCTGAGGCTTGGAGCAGCAAGGAAGACCTCAAAAAGATAATAATTGGCTAAAGTGGAACATGTGATCCCTATGAAGTGATTACATGCGTGAGACCAAGAATTGAACCTGGGATAGGGGCGTCAAAAATCTATAGCACAGAGGGAGACCATTTGGCCTATTTTTTTCTGTACTGCTAAAAAAGAAATGTCCTTCCCAATCCTAATTCTAGCCTCTGTTCTAGGGGTCAGCAGGTTACAGCAGCCTGAGTGCATATCCAGATCTTGTTTAATTTTGTGGAGTGGGTTTCTATCTCTACCACCTTTCCAAACTGTGACTCTCTGGGTGAAAGAAATTCTCCTCAACCTGACCCAACCTACTGCAACTTACTGTAAAATGTTTTCCCCTTGTATTGATTTCTCTACTCAGAAATTAGTTCTTCCTACTCACTCTATCTGGACCCCTCAGAATTTTATATACCTTAATAAAATATCCCCTCAGCCTCTTGTATTTCAAAGAAACATCCAAACATTCCTCCTTATGAAAATTCTCCATTTCTGGCAACATCCTCGTAAATCTCCTCAGACCATCTCCAGCATGATTGCATTCTTCCTGTGATTTGATTAGAATGTTACCACAGTTCTCATGGTGCCCGTTCAGTGAATTTGCCCGTCATCTACCAGTGGTTCAACTCAACATTTTAACAGCATATTATATTTGTGAGCATGTTTTTTGTTTGTTAACCTGTTGGCTAGTGGTTTATGAGCAAAGCCCATGATTGTATAAATTGTATTAAAGCTTCAAAATTGTGTCGGTAATAGAAAGAGTCAGCTGTGGCTCTGTGGGGAGAACTGTTAGTGCTGAGTCAGAAGACGGTGGATTCTAATTCCACTGCAGAGACCTGTGGAATTAAATCCACTCATAGTGCTGAACTACGTTTTTAGAGTCTCAAGACCCAGTTTGTCCCTGCGGGTAGATTTAAAAGATCCCATTGGCACTGTTAGAGAGACAAACCTGGGTTCTGGTCAGTATTTACCTCCCATACATATCACAAAAATCTAGACATTTTTAACATTGCTGTTTATAGAATCTTGCTGTGTACACATTGATTATTATGATTCCAACATTACAACGATAACAATACCTCAGAAGTACCCAAGCTACTGTAAACGGCTTGGAAACGTTGTGAAAGATGCTGTTGAAATTCAAGTCTTTCTCGTGTCTTTTATTTTTATTCTTTCTCTATCCCATGTGCCCTTTTCTTTTCATTTCTTACTCATTTTTTTCTCTCCCTTCCTCTGTTGCTCTGTCTCCCTTTCTCTCTTCTTTCCTTTCTCATTCCCTCTTCTTTTTTCTATCACTGATGGAATTTGGGTTCCACTGCTCCTGAATATTTTGCAAATAAACTGCATGCTCCTGAGTCTGGGTCCTTGTCTTGCAGGCCGTCCTCTACACCAGCTAGCAGCGAGCAGTACAATGAGAGCTACGGCCTGGTGGGCATGCAAGAGGGAGCTTTGCCATCTGATCTTTACAACAATGCTTCAGGAGATGGAACCCTGATTATCCGAGAGGTACGTGCAGGGATTGTGCGAAAAGATAATTAAAACATATGACTTTGTAGTTACACCTTCAGAAGGAACAGAACCAGCTTTCATGTATTCATCTGAATAATTTAAAAAGAAATTAAACTGAGCAAGTTGCACACGGAAATGTGGTCGATAGCGAAGATCATCTGCAGGTTATGGCGTCGCAGAGAGGACTGAGGATCAATGGGAAGGGGATGAATAGAAGCACATTGAACATAAGAAAGAAACAGGTGGAGTAAGTAAAAATATAAATAATGGAGGAGATGAGAAGAAAAGTCAAAGGGAAAAACTGTTGCTGCTCATTGCAATATACTGCACATATCTATTCTCAATGGCAGCTGGCAGCAGAACTGTTGTCATTCTATCCAGGGAATAGCCATTTGGACAGGAGGCTCTAACATTTTTTGCAACAGGCAAAAGATGATCTTACTGGCCAGATTATGATGGAGCAGAGGTGGAACTCCCAGGGTGATTCCATTTATTCACTGCATTGAACCTACTAACTGTTATAGGGCGTCTTCACCGCGAGCTTCTCTGATGTTATTTTGGGCTTGAAATGTAATAATGTAAGTTGCAACCTTTCATTAGCTCTGGAATGTAGAGTACTAACCAAGGATTCATAGAGTACACAATGCAGGAAAGAAGCTATTCGTGCCTGTGTCAGCTTTCTTACGCAACTGTCAAGTTAATCCCCCTCCTCTTTCCTTTCCCTACAGCCGTGCAAAACTTGCACTGTATTTGTCCAAAGCTCTTATGAAAATTCGTATAGATTTTGCTTCCATCTAGCCCGATCTAGCAGCGCATTTCAGATCACAACTTGCCGAGTTATGTAAAACTATTCTCCTCACCTGCCTTCTGGTTTGTTTGCTGCTTAGTTTATAATCTGTGTCTTCTAGTTACTGACCCTCCTGCCATTGGATAGTTTCTCTCCATTTATTCTGTCAAACCATTTGTAATTTTGAACTCCTCAATCAAGTCTTCAGATTCATGATGGAAGAAAGCTCTTTTCCTTTCAGCTGTTGAGGGCGAAAGGCTAAGTATGTGCCTCTCCAATCCAGTGCCGGCTCCATTCCATAGATCTGGACTGTCTCAAACTGCCCAATGTTGTGCCTTAATGGCTGATAGTAAAAAGTTGGGGTATGGCATAGAAACAAGGCATGTAAACATCAACTAGATTCATGATGTAAAACTGTCCAACATTCTTCATCTTAATTGATCATCATACCCATAGACAGGCCTAGCCTTGATACCTGCCACTAAAGCTGTTAGTTAACATGTCCATCATTGGGCAGGATGACTTTAATCAATTTCTCCTTCACTTTTGTTCCCCTCATTTTTCCCTGCTTCCCCGCTCTGCATTAAAAGAACTTTACCATAGGTCTTGTCTTGACCAACTTAGTATGTTGACTCTGCTGGAATTTGACAATAAACTTCAAAAGTGGGAAGGTTTTTAATTATCCATTCTTGGTATGGAGAGTAGCAGTAAGGCTGGAATTTATTCTGCATCCCTAATTGCCCTGGAAGGAGGGGTGGTGAACTGCCTCGTTAAACTGCTGCTGTTAGAAAGGGAGTTCCAGGATTTTGACTCAGTGACACTGAAGGAGCAACAAGTCTGGATGATGCATGGCTTGGAGGTGAATGAGGAGGTTTTGGCATGGGTGTGAGGGAGCAGTTCTGCAAGTAGGCTTGAGGGCCAACCCACAGACCAGGTTGTATCTGCACCCTGAGGATACATTTCTCTTTTTGGGTAGCCTGGCTTCTGGGTAAATTAACGAAGTTGCAGAGGGGGCACCTCATCATTGACATCCTGTCTCCCTTTATTCCTTGGGAATGTATTATGTTGCTTCATCCATGTTTGAAGGTTTTCTTGAGATCCAGAGCTCACCCATCATCGTCAATTGGATAGTAAGCCCAGACTCTAATTGTCAGTTTGTTTGTCGAAAATTGCTGCCATGTGACTTTTCCAACATCATGCAGCTTTGTGACCTTTGTATCACTTTGATCCCAATTGATTCAGAGGGTAAAATCCAGTGCTTGGACCTCTCCCTTCCCCTAACCTTTAGTTGTCCCTGCACCTGGAATTTGGCTCAATCAGAAGCTGCTATTTTATCATCATTCAACCTTTATGGATAAGAAAAGACCATTGGTCCATTGACACTGTATCACAACATGGCAACAAGAACAATGGAACTAAACACTTCCAAACTCAAGCCAAAATCCCTCCCTATGCAGTCACATAATCTCCTTGGAGAAACAACAGAAGTAATGATAACTCTGCAACCAATGATGGAAAAATGTTGCAGAGGTTTGTCCTCTCACCACCACCATATTCCCAATCCCCTTGCCTCACCTCGTCAGGTGATCGAAACCTGCTCAGGTGATCAAGAAGGTGCCATGTTCTCTGTGAAGACAGCTTGCATTTTTAATCATGTGACCTCTGCCCAGGTCAGAAGCTGGTCTAGACCCCTCCTGGAGAGAGTCAGCACCCAACACATCATCTGCTAGCACATTCTTGAGGTATCACTACCTTCTGGGAAATGAAGATCTGCCCAAAATATGGACCATTCCCACTTTTGGTTTCTTTAAACTCCTGTCCTTACTTCCAATCGCTAAACTGGAATAATCCAATGTTAGTGATGCTATCAAGCCATTTAATTATTTACTTTTTGACATCTGCCGTGTTACTTTGGAGTTGACACTTCTTTGCAGGAAGTAGACTAAAGTTCTCAGCTACCCAGTTGGCTTTGATCCATTCAATTCTGTTTCCAAATCAAAGCCATGTACTAAATTTGATCTCTGTGTTGTCTTGGGACAGTTCTCCAGGAATTGGAAGATAAATGAAAAAAAAATTACAGGGACAAGTTAGTGATATGAATGTTGTTTCACTGACAGTTGAGAACAAGCCAGTTGGCTAAAGTAAACATGGTGAATCATCAATGGTGAGTGCAAATGGTCATGTGATGAAGCCTCCAGGCTTTAAGGAGCCAGTTGCAGTTCAATTGCCTTTGAATCAGAAAAGTTTTGGTTCAAACCTCATTCCTTAGCACAAACCTCCAGGCTGATTCTCCTGGCTCAGTACTGGGGGAGCACTACACAGTCAGGGGGAGCACTACACTGTCAGGGGTACTGTCTTTCAAATGAAGTGTCTAACCAGGATGCTGTCTGTTATCTCAAGTGGACGCAAATGGTTCCACAATCATTATTTTGAAGAACAGCAGGGGAAATTATCCCCTGGTGTCCAGGCCATTATTTATCCCTCAACCAATATGGTAAAAAATGGATTACCTCATCATTATCAGATTTCTGTCTGTGAGAGTTCGCTCTGTAAAAGTGGCTACTGCATTTTCTATATTACAATGGTTGCCACACATGCAAAAGAAAACTCATTGGCTGTAAAGCTCTCTTGGACTTACTGTGTCTGTGAAAGCCACTTATGTCAGTGCAGTCTTTCTTTCTTTCATCTGGTGAAGTTGACAGCCTTGATATTGTCCCAGCCTGTTACATGTTTTCCTCACTTCCATCCTCCCTTGCTTTGCTGGATTTGGGATGGGGATATGGTTGGGGGTGGATGATACCTTTTATTAGGCTGGCTGTTTTGGGTATCAGTAGCTAGCAGTTTGTGCTTCACCTGTCTGTGTCTGTCTATCCATCTGTCCTGTCTATCTATCCATCTATCTATCTATCTGTCTCTCTGTGTCTCTGCAGAATTCTGGTGACAAAAAGTGGACTGGCCATGTTGACAGTAACGGCTTTGCCAGCCACACCAATCTGCCCGATCTGGTGCAGCAAAGCCAGTCTCCTGCCACTACACCAACCGAGGCAATTGGGCGAACCACATCTCAACTCGCTCAGGAAAAGGACTCAGCAGCTGGGGTAGGTGGTGGTGGTGGTGATGTGGGTGTGGGGTACTATATAATGGGGAGGAATATATCCTCTCACTCAAGTTGCCACTTCCAGACGTAGAACTCGGACAAATACCTTAAGCACCTGCAATGGGATTAATTGGATAGCTCTTTGAAAGAGCTGGCACAGAGCACAATGGGCCAAGTGGTCCTCTTCTGCAACACTACCCAACATCCCTTGGGTGGGTCTGCAATAATAATTCTGTGACTAGTCTCAAATCAAACATAGTCCTTGTCTAAATCACTGGGACCTCCACTTGACATTGACTTCTTGCCAAAAATGCATGTTTTTTTCTTTGAAATTGTCACCCCATCACCTCTCCTGCTGCCAACTTCTCCCACTCACTCCCAGGTAGTTGCCTAGTTTCTAAGTTATTGGGGTTCCAGGCTTCCAAAGAGTTGGTGGAAGTTGTTCAGCAAATACTGAGTTTGGGTTTATGCTTTGGTGTCACAGCTTTGAACGTAGTTGGCACTGTGCCAGCTGGTATTTGGTAACATCCTAGCACATTCTTTAGTGCTTATTTGAATTGACAGATTATGGAAAATCTGTAGCCTAAGGCAGGTAATATCTTTCACCCTTCCTGAATTTAAGCACGGTAATCCATTGTTAATTGAGTTTGGATTATGATACTGCTACTATTAATAACTCTAAGACTTGGGTCCAAAGGAAAGTGCACAATGTTCAAGATTTTGTTCAAGGTTTATGTTTATTTTATTTAACTGCCAAGTCTTTCCCAGTAACTGAGCTGGTATGGGGTGGCATTCAGGACTGAGGCATACTGAATGTCACAATCTCCATGAAGATCAATCACTTTTTACGAAAAAAAAACAGTTGTAAGCTGAATGATTTTCCAGTAACAAACGAAGTATCATTGACTAAAGCTTGTTTTCATTTTGTCAGCAGTTTCTTCCTTTAGCTCAGTGGGCTGGATGGCTGGTTTACAATGCAGAATGATACCAACAGTATGGTTCAATTCTCACAGCAACAGAGGTTACCATAAAGGATTTTCCTTCTTAACCTCTTCCTCTTGCCTGAGTTGTGGTGACCCTCAGGTTAAACCATCACCAATCATCTCCCTCTATTAAGAGTGATGCCCTATGGTCCAGTGGCACCATTGTGACTTTACATTGCCTATACTTTAAACTACTGAAAGAAACTTTTTCCTTGTACATTTACTATACAATGTATCTGCCAAGGAATTTCAGTCGTTAAGGCAAGCAGTTCACAATACTGTCAATTTCCAGCATGTTCCCATGTTCCCATTCTGCCATGCTTTAAGTGACCAACTATGAGTGCTTTCCTCAGTTTTCCGAGTTCCTTGAATTCTCCCAATAGTAGTAAAGGTTGTTCTGATGATTCTCCCTCTAGCTGTACCAGGTCGAATCACCTGGTACCCTTTAATGGCTACATGACATCTCATTGTCTAGAGACTGTCTCTCTCCCTGTTCACTATCTGTCATATTCCTTCCTTTTTCAAGAAGCCTGTGATATCAAAAGTACCTTCCTCTGCTCTCTTTCCTGTAGAACACATGAGCCTATATTCAGGTAGGAATGCAAGTTAGCTATTCTTGGCATCAATTATCTTTTATCTTGGAAGTAAATGGACATTTTACAACACAACTATTTTCAGTTCCTTTTTGGGAGTTTGGGAGACTCTGAGTCTCCCCGTTGCAAATTTAGAGATTGCTGCTGCTATACATAAGTGTAATTACCCTTTACCATCTTCTCAGTACAACATCCTAAGCCTCACTTTAGATCTTTTTTCCAGTCTGTTGTCAAGAAGAGTTCAGAGTAGTTCACATGATCATATCCATTTTACCCAAAATGGTAGGCGCAGTTTGAAAATATAACGATATTGAACACATTGGCTGTAACAAGAATGACAAGGATCTAGGGTTCAAAGCAACACTGAAATACACAGGGGAAATAGGAAATCCGCCCCCAAACATTCCCAAATCACCTTGGTAAATTCACTGGTAGGGTTGACCAGTCTGAGAAAGATCACCCTTTGTAAGTTGAAAGGAGGAAAATAGCATGGAGTAACTCCTCCAATCACAGGCCGAGCCTTGCTGTGAATGGGGGAACAGCGACCAATTAGATAAGTAAACGATAACCGGGACTGACTGATGGAACCTTTCACTGGAGTGAGGGGCGTGGAAGTGGGCTTTAGCCGAGGCCAGAATCAGACGCCACATTTGTCTGAGGCCAGATGTTCTAGTTTCTAGGGTAAGGTGAGGGGAAGGGGAGTTGGGTTGTGATGGTAAGGAGTCTAGTTTAAGTTCTGTGTTAGGTTGTGTAAGCCTCAGATCTACAATACTTGGGAAAAATGTCATGGATCCCACTGCAATTGTTAGATTTAAATGAGTGATTGAGATTTGAGCAGTAAAAAGGGTAAAAACTGCCTGGCTATAATATTCTACCTTTGGGAATATATGATGGAGATGCATTAACTGTGACTTTACCAGTCATTGGAAGATGTGTTTAAGGTGATGGGCTTTTCATGTTGAAATGTGTGTCATCATTTTGGGAAAAAAAATCTTTTCTTGCTAACTTACATCTGATGTCTTGTGCCAACTTAACTATTCTGGTATCTATGAAATTAATGCTTCCCTTGTACGTTGTGGTCTTAGGGCACTGACAAATTCTTCTAATTCTGCTTCTGTGTGAGCTCATTTGCCAATCTTAATTAAGACAGTATTGTTGGTATGTGATGGCAACATGTATTAAGTAAATTAAAGGGCAAGAATACGTCTCATCTGAAAACCTACAAAACCATTATAAATCAAAAGAGAGCCCCTAAAAGCCCGCAAGCATGAAAAGATAGCCCTTGAGAGAATCTCAAAAGGAGATTTTGACCCTGGTTCAATGTCTATTCTGTGTTGCGCAATAAAAGAGATCTTGCATTGGCCGATCAAAGCTGATTTAAACCTGGCTCCTTGCACTTAAAGAGGGTGAAAACCAGCATTGCTCCCTGCAGTGACCTCTACAAATAACATTGACATGTGAACAGCAGGTGACGGTATGACCATCTTACACATTGTACGTGAAGAAATAGAGGGAGATGTGGAAATAACTTGTAAACTGCCAATTGCTTTGACTCTCTCAGTCAGTTCTGGATGAAAAACATCTTTTCACCCCAGCAGAGTCTGCTCAGGATTTCAGAGTGGCTTCACTGAGGTCAACTTCACTAACTTGAGCCTATAATCCAGTCTTTTTCATGCTACACTGAGAGACCACCACATTGTCAGTGGGTCAGTACTGAGGGTGCATCTCACTGTCAGTAGGTGAGTGCTGAGGGAATGCCACATTGTGGGAGGTTCAGAACTGAGGGACCTCTGCCCTGTTGGAGGGTCAATATTCAAGGAATGCTGCACTGTTGAAGTGTTATTACTGAGGGAGTGCTGCACTATCAGAGGGTCAGTACTGAGGGAGTGC